TGTCCCCTCCTCCTTCCCCCCCCCCGCCCACTCAAAAAAAAAAAAGGCAAGCCCCAGGAGTTCATGGGCTCCAGCGTACAGGCCACTTAAGTTGCTAAAAAAGATTGCTTTTTACTTCATTAGGCTTCTGATCAGGCCCAGGAGTTAAAGAAGTATCTGTCCAAAAAAAAAAAAATGGAAGTACATTCCCTTGGATTGTAATAGAAAAGTATAAATTATGGCAGGTAAAAACTAAGATAAACATTAGGAGAGCAAAGAGAATTTGAAGATAAAATTGTCTGCACATAACATTCTTAAACATAATATCCAAAGCTGCAAAAGATTTGGTGTGAAAATGGAATGTCAGGGAAAAGAGGGCAATTAAGTAGGATGACTAAAAATAGAATAGTTTAGATTTTCACCATAGAGGGCATTGGGGTATATCTGCCTCAGCCCATGTGTGCACTAGGAAACTATTTCAAAACAACTAAATTTGACTTAGCTCCTAATTTTACAAAATTGAAATAGCGTGTCCCCCACATGGGGATTCTCAAAATTAGTTCAGGGCAGGCTCCGTTAGTGTGGATGCATTACCTTGACTTAGAGCCCCGGGAAGCACTGGGGAGTAATTACTTTGAATTTCTCTGGGAAATAGTTATTTTGAAATAGTGGCACCAGAGCGTTCACACGAATGCTAATTTAGAAATTAGTGTTATACCCCAAGAAAAGCAGATTTCAAAATAAGCTGCCCATTATTTTGAAATAATGGTCTTGGTAGTCTGGACATTCAACTTATAAATTCAACCTAAGGGGGATTATTGCGAAATAAAGCCCTAGTAAACCAGGGCTCAAACCTGATAAAGTATTAGTCCTGAAACAAATTGCTAAAGAGCAATATGTCACCTAGACCAGATAGTACTCATCCAAGAGTACTAAAAGAATAAGGTTGACAGTGGCAATGAAAAAATGCAATGTCATTAGTCAGCTGCAATACTAGAGAAGTACTGGAGAGCAGATGTCCTACAAAAAACAGTGGGAGCCATCTTGGGAATTACTTTAATACCAGGAAAATTGTTTAAAACTAGAATTAAAAACAGAATTATGAACACCTAGATTGTAATATGGTAGGGACAAACAAGCATATCACTTAAAAAAAGATAATTTTGTCTAACCTAGAATTTCCTGAGCATGGCATCAGTTATGAATGCAGAATAACTGGTTGACATTATTTGTCAAAATTCTTGGTAAGAAGATATGAGGAAAACATGAAGTATGAGGTTAAATACTGTAATGGATTAAAAATTGAAATGTGGTAATAAAAGATACATTTTGACTGAACAATTGGCAGATTTAACACAAATTGACTACCAACTACTGAAGTTAGGAGAGTACTGTATCTACAATAGGTTTTTTGTAGCTTCTGGTACTGGCCCATAAGAAGCATAATACTGGACTAGGGATGTGACCAGGTAAGGGTAATGCTTACCAGTAACTGGCTAAAGCAGTGTTTCTCAACTTTTTTTTAAATTAAATAAAATACCCCCCTTTAAATAAATAAATAAATAAAAGTACCCCAGTACCTACAGTTTCCAGAGAATTTTTTTTCTACTATTGCAACACATTTGTTTAAACAACTTAATTGTAGCCATGCAGGCAATGAAATTCTTTGGTGTAAAAAGTAGAAAAATAATAAAGCACTGTAAAACTTAAAACAAAAATTCATTTTTCTCCAAATTTCTGTTGTATTGAAGTACCCTCCCAGATTTCTCTTGAGTACCCCAAGGGTACTCATACCACTGGTTGAGAAACACAGGGCTAGAGCAGCCCCCTGCCTGCCGTGGGTGAGGGGCTGCTCCAGCCTGCTAAGGGACTGGTTAAGCAGTTAACTGGGACTTTACGTCCCTATCAGTAGTACATCTAGTTCAGTATAAGACAATTCTGATGTTCCTGAAAAGTATTGTAACACTTCATGTGCCTTTCTAACTGTGTGGATCCTGAAAATGTGCTATTTTAAACAGAACCTTCAGGTGAAGAGGAAGGTAGAGAAAATGACCAGAGTGCCCAAGTACGGAACCAAGTAGTCATTTCTTTGAGCCATCAAGACTGGAAGGTATAATAGATTACACTTCCTTTGCATCAGTTTAAGTTTAGAGTCTCAAAGAGTTGTGCTATTTTATGGCGTGAAGACACAGAATAGTGCCTCATATGACAAGTTGTGTACACATCTTGGTAGCAATACATATTGATCATTATGGACCCTGGAAAACTAGTAGGTATAATAAAATAGTTTTCTATAGTGAGAGATGGGATGGATACTTCATCCAACTCCACAGGTGCTTTGTTAAATTTATACTGCTTACAATCTAAGGTTGTGCTACTACAAAAAACTTGCTGTATTATATAAAAGCCAAGTAGATATTAGAATTCAGCCCAAATTGCTATCCGTTTTTCCCTTGCCACAAAGCATTAGTCATGGGGCAAATGTGATGTGTCTGCTGTCCATCAGATTCATGATGATATTTAAAAGAATGTGCTAAAGTGCTCAAGACTAGGCTTATCTAAATTCCTGAAAGTAGTGAGAAATAGTGTTAGTGCTCCATATGGTGAAGTGCTAATTGTAAAAGAAAGCTATCACTTTTCACAGGGTGGGTTTGTAGAACTTGGTAAACAGAAGTTTTATTTGACTAATAGACCTCAATGTGATTTGATTTTTGGCACAAGGAACTCCCATCCCTCCTTCTCCCCTGGTTGGCCTAATCATTCTAGCAAGTGTTATAATGTGAGAGTCCTGTATTTCTAATGCAACTAATTTTTTTTGTTTCAGTTGTTACATTACTGTAATAAACTTTTTAAAAATATTACTTTCTTTGACCAGGACATTGTAGAAACTTTTGAAATCACAGAACCTATGATTCCCCCTCCTGGTATCAGCCAAGAAAATGAAAGTAAGTGTTTATTTAAGTTGGTTTTTCAGAAAACTTCATAGTTCAATTCATACGTTTTGTATGTATTTGAGAACATTAGAGAAAATACCTGTAATGCTTATGTAACACTTAAGATTTAATACGTTTAATTTAAATATTTGAAATTGCATATTTGTTTAGGGTTTTCCCTATTAATTATACTTAAACAAAATTAATTATGGTGAACTATTCTAGATTAGGAATGTAAGTGAGTAGACGACTAACGGATAAGCCTAGGAGTATTGGTTAATCTAGTCAGCTACTTGCATTTCCCCACCCTCTTGCTGCCTCTGTATCAGAGGCAGCAAGGGAGGCAGGAGCTGGTGCTGGGGGGAGCTGGCTTAAAAGCACTATCTCTGTGGTGCCACCTGACCAATTATGGTGAACTATTCTAGATTAGGAATGTAAGTGAGTAGACGACTAACGGATAAGCCTAGGAGTATTGGTTAATCTAGTCAGCTACTTGCATTTCCCCACCCTCTTGCTGCCTCTGTATCAGAGGCAGCAAGGGAGGCAGGAGCTGGTGCTGGGGGGAGCTGGCTTAAAAGCACTATCTCTGTGGTGCCACCTGACCTCTCCTT